AGAAGGATCTAGATCCAGAGGGTGTGGAGGAAGATAGAATCTCCACTGAGTAGTATTCAATCTGTCTAGGTGGGGCTGATGAAAGGAAGTGCAGATAGGTCTCTTGTGATACAATATTGAATAACTGTTATCAGGACTGATTGTGAGCGCTGGAAATGTAAAGGTAGACGTTTTGTAGCAAGGAGGGGAGTGATTAACTTTTCAGTCTAGGAGTGGAGGTCCCTGGGTCCAGCAAGGGAGAAGAGCGGAGAGCAGGATCCTACCCTGAGAAGCAGTGATACCTGAGATGGAGGCTGAGACGATGACGTGGAGAGATGGAGCAGCTGCAGACTTTAGACCCAGAGAGGGAGAGGGGCTGTGTGCTGATGACCAGGGTGGGATTGGGGTGGGGGGTGGCAGGCTTGTAGGGTGATGATGCATGGAGGGGATTGTAACCATGGCAATGAAACAATATACGATAGGATGAATGTAAAGCTAATGTTCCCCCATGTAAACTATCACATAATTCACAATAAAACAATTTTTTTAAAAAGCAGATTACCGGACTGATTGTGAGTGTTGCAAATGTAAAGGTAGACATTTTGTAACAAAAGGAGGGGAGTGGTTGATTTTGCAGTCCAGAAGCGGAGATCCGTGGGACCATCAAGGGAGAAAAGCCAAGTGTGGGACCCTATTCAGAGAAGCAGTGATGCAGAAATGGAGGCAGAAACGATGATGTGGAGAGATGGAGTGGCTGGAGACTCTGGACTCAGGGAGGGAGAGGGGCTGTGTGCTGACGGCAGAGGGGCAGGTTTGCGGGTTGTACCCTCTGGTTGTTGATGATAAATAGAGGGGAATGTAATCATGGCACTAAAACGATATAAGATAGGATGAATGTAAAGCTGATGTTCTTCCATGTAAACTATCACTCAATTTACAATAAAAACCTTTTTAAAAAGCAGATTACCATGCCTTTCAGCCATGGGGCTGCTGTTGCTGCTGTTAAGTGACGTCGAGTCTGTTCCGACTCACAGCTACCCTATGTAAGATTTCCGAGGAGCGACTGATGAGTTTGAACCATTGATCTCACAGTTCAAACCAACCGTGTGGTCTAGTGCATTATCCACACTGCCACAGCTGGACTGTTGTTCATTGTTAAGTGCCATCAAGTCGGTTCCGACCCATAGCAACACTGTATAATGTTTCTGAGGAGCAGCTGATGGGTTTGAAAAACACTGGACTTTGCGGTTAGCAGCCCAGTGCTTATACTACAACACCACACTAGGACTGCTGTCAAGTCGGTCCGACCCACAGTGACCCCTGTATAGGGTTTCCGAGGAGTGGCTAGTGAGTTTGAACTGCCAACCTGGCAGTTCAAACCGACTTTGCAGTCCAGCACATTAACCCACAACACTACACCAGGTCTAGGGGTTACAAACTGCCAGTCTCTAGTAGTCAAGCCCAAGCAATTTGTGCTACCCAGAGACCCTGCTATAAGCAAAAAGGGGCTTGAAAAGAGGAAGCTGAGGAAAACAGGACCAGTTCTAACTACACAATCACTTTCCACAGTTAAAATTTACAGAATTAAGACAAGTTTGACTTTAAGAAAATTCATATATGAAAAAAGGTAAATTAGCAACATCAACATTAAAAAAAAAAATAGTAGAGATAGATACAAAATACAAACTAACAATGTTTTCTAAAATAAACTAGATCTCAAAGTACTTTGAAGCGTAACTCTTAAAAGAAGAACAATCTGCAAGCTGAGCTGGGTGCAAACCATAATTGGTTGGTTATGTGCCGTGAAGTCAGTTCCAACTCATAGCGACCCTGTATAGGATTTCTGAGGCTGTAAACCTTTACGGGAGCAGAAAGCCTCATCTTTCTCCCGCGGAAGAGCTGGTAGTTTCAAACTGTGACCTTGCGATTCACAGCCCGATTCGTAACCACTATACTACCAGAGCTCCTTGAAAACTATGATAGGAATGAGCAATTTGCTTAAAATTTAAAAGTTATGTGCTAAAAAATAAAGGTTATCAGTAACTTTTGTCTAATTATTTAAATAGACATGTATATAATTTGGGCTATTAGTTCTTTAGGTAAGTGAAGACTTTCTATTTATTTGGTTCTTTTCAAAAGTTTATCTCTTACCCTTTAAGCTTCTAACACACCAGGTGCATTAATTAAGGTTTCTATGATTACAATGCACAGATTTTTGCATTAAAAGGTAGCTATAAAGGAGCTCTGGCAGCTTTACGATGGGGCGGAGAACCGCAAAGTCAGCAGTTCGAAAGTACCACCTATTCCGCAGGTGAAAAATGAGGCTTTCTGCTCCCATAAAGATTTACAGCCTCGGAAACCCTGTACAGGGTCACTATGAGTCGGAACCAACTCCATGGCATATAACCAACCATATGTCTCATAAGGAACCCCTGAGTGATAACATCAAGAACATATAATTTGATTCATGGATAGTCTTTTCTTCTTTGAAGATCCCACAAAAGTGACATCATAAGGGCTGAAGCATTCCAAGTAAGATAAAGCACTAGACATAGTGGGATGTACTTACGAAACAAATTTTCCTACTTCTACTTGAAGTATTGGATCTTGTAAATGCACTTCTAGAAGCAAATCTTCAGCTTGCGCTCCATCGCCTGTTTTTACAGGATGAGGGTTAAAGATTCTTAGGTATCCCATGAAGCTACCCACAATTATTTTATCTGTAGAGAGGTTTAAAAAAAAAAAAAAGGTATTAGAAGAAATAAACATTAGCAACAAAATACCTCTGGAAATAAACTAACTTTCTCATGTATAAAAGACTACAAGAGAAATCTAAAAATCAAAATAATTCAGTCTTATATCACATGCAAACATGACTTTGCCAATAGTGATGTAGTTAAAGAAAATATTGTATTAAAAAGAATTCCTATTATTCAGCCATAATAAAGAGATATGAAATTTTGACATGTTACAATAAGGATGACCCTTGAAAACAACATGCTAAGAGTTGTTGTTTGGTGGTGGTGCTGGTGTGCTGTAGAGTTGGTTCCGACTCACAGTGACCCTGCATAGGGGTTCCAAGGCTGTAAATCTTTATGGGAGCAGAAAGCCTCATCTTTCTCCCGTGGAACCGCTGACAGTTTCAAACTGCTGACCTTGAGATTAACAGCCCGATTCGTTACCACTACGCTACCTGCTCTGGTAGCATAGTGGTTACGAATCAGGCTGCGAACCACAAGGTCAGCAGTTTGAAACTACCAGTGGTTCCATGGGAGAAAGATGAGGCTTTCTGCTCCCATAAAGATTTATAGCATCAGAAACCCTGTATAGGGTCACCATGAGTTGGAACCCACTCCACGGCACACAACAACAACAACAACCAAAAGCATACCAAACCCACTGCTATCAAATAGACTCCAACTCATAGTGACCCAACAGACAGAATCCTTGCTGTTGTCACTGAGCTCATTCCAACTCATAGCGACCTTGTATAGGGTTTCTGAGGAGCAACTGGTGGATTTGAATTGTCAAACCTTGTGGTTCAAACCAACCTTGCAGGCCAGTGCTATCCTACATCACCACACCAATACTCCATAGTCAGAACCAGACCTGCCCAAAGATTTCCAAGGCTGTAAATCTTTAGAGATTTACACATTTTTCTCTTGCAGACCAACTCGTAGGTTCAAAACCACCCACTTTTTTGGTTGACAGCTGAGCTCTTAACCATTGCTCCATCAGGGTTCTGTTGTTGTTACGTGTTGTTGAATCAGTTTTAACTCATAGCTGCCCTGTACCGGGTTTCTGAGGAGCAGCTGGTGGGTTTGAACTGCTGACTTTGCAGTTAGCAGTCCTGTACTTACTCTACAGCACCATACCAGGACATCCAGTAGACCTGGGCTTTGTTGTTCTTCTTAAGTGCCATCAAGTTGGTTCCAACTCACAGCGAGCCTGCATAGGGTTTCTGAGGAGTAGCTGGTGTGTTTGAATCACTGACCTTGTGGTTCAAACTGACTTTGTGGCATGCTTATCCTACAGTGCCACACCAGGACTTAAGTAGGTGTTAAATACCAATCATAGAATACCAAATAATGATCCACCTCACCATCACTCTTGGATCAAGTCAAAAATAGGGTGCCTGAAACTGACAACAGATCCAAACAGATTTCATAAACATTCTGCCTATGAGTCTATTCTTGCCACACCGCTGCCATTCTCTGTAAAGGAGCTCCCTGGGAACAAATGAGAAAGGATTAAAGCAAACAAAAATAAATAAATAAAAATAAAAATAAACACCACCTTACGTCTTCTTTAAAGATCCTTGAGAAATAGTGTGATGCTAGCTAGCCAGAAGTGGAATCCCCTATTTTAAGAGTGACCCTGAAAAACCAGAGAAAGAAAAACCTTCCCAGAGGACTAAATGTGAAGCACCATACCACATATCTGTGCCTTGAAAAAAGGAGGTCAGGATAAAGATCCATGAGGGTGAATTAAAAAGTATTGCTACATAAAGGAAACGAGTCTAAATTCCTATAATTTGATGAACTCGACCTATACTTATGGATGTTGTTGTTGTTAAGTGCCGTCAAGTCGATTCCGACCCATAGTGACCCTGTATAGGGTTTCCAAGGAGCAGCTGGTGAGCTTGAACCACCGACCTTGCAGTTCAAATGACTCTACAGTCTGACGCATTAGCCCACAGCATACTTATGGACGTAGTACCTCATAGAGGTAGTAGCTCTAAATACCAACAGAGAGGGAAGGAATCTTCACATCAAGTATCAATGCTATCCCCTCTGTACACAGGGTAGATAGGGACGGGCAACTCAGACATTAGCTACCTAAAATGAGGGGGCGATAGAGGCACGAAGTGACTGGCTTACAAGTTTTCAAGAGGGAGTTTAGTTTAAGAGTGTGCAGGGGAAGACACAGTCCCCACTGAATAGTTTTCATCTTGTCCAGACAGGTCTGGTGAAAAGAGATGGGGATAAGATTCTCATGATTCAGTAGTGAGTAACTAGTATCATGACTAATTGCAACTATCACAATTGTAAAGGTAGAGGTTTTGTAACAAAAATGGGGGCGTAGCTTATCTTATAGTCCAGAAACAGAGGACCCTAGGACCATAAAAGGAGAAGAGTACAAGCAGAATGTGGGACCTTATCCAGAGAAGCAGTGACACCAGAGATGGAGGCAGAGATGAAGACCTGGAGAGAGGAAGCAACTGAGGACTCTACACTCATGGAAAGAGAGGGACTGGATGCTGGTGGCCAGGAGGCAGGCTTGCAGAATGTACCCTTTGGTTGTTTAAATAATTATATATTCCTGAGTGGGTTTTTTTGTACATTCCCCCACCCCTTGGTAGAATGGAAGCAAATACTGTTGAATGATAATGCACAAAGGAGATTGTAATCATTGCAATGAACGATGGTGTAAAGCTGATGTTCTCCCATATAAACTATCACTCAGTTCAAAATTAAAAAAATAAAAATAAAGTATTGCTACAAAATCACAGACACCTCTAAATAAGCATAAATATCATAATGTGAAGCTATTGCTTCTCAACATATCCTCTATCTGGGGGCTATACACTTATAAAGGCAGTGTTTCCATCTCTAACTCTTCCCTGAAAAATTCCATACTATTATTTTGACATGGTATAATAGTTTTGGCATCCTTGAGGAACTCAAATCATATTACTTTGAAAAGATCTTTGAATTGGGGAAGAAAATGTCTGAAGGGGCAAGATTAGGACTGTAGGGTGGATGGGGGAAGGTTTCCCAATGACATTCTCATAGGACAGCCTTTACTATCCTCAAAGAATGAGCAGGTACATTGTTGTGATGGAAAAAAATTCCTCGGCTCAATTTTCTTGGTCTTTTTTCTCAGCAACACAGTCTTCCATTTTCTAAAAAGTCTTCAAAAAATGTCCCATGATTGCCCTACGTCCTTTGAGAAAATCTATCAAAATCACCCCTTTAAAATTTCTAAAAACAATCCCCATGACCTTCTGATTTGACCTCTCTGCCTCTGTTGATTCCCTTGGAAACCACTGTTTTGATTGGACTTTTTTCTGAACTCATCCTAATGAGATTAGGATTCTTACTGCGAGAATTTGTCTGCAGCTATCCACTGATAGCTGAAACATGTTTAAACATGTTTTGTTTAGAAGAGACACATGTATGTATGAATATCAATGCTTTGTGACTTAACCTTTTATTCTGACTCTGTTCAGTAACACTGACCAAACAAACTATCAAAGGCAAGACTGAAACAAAGTTATAGACTTATCCTTGTATACTGACTCTGACCAGCAACATTAACCAAACTATCAAGGGCAAGATTGAAACAAAGTTATGGAATTGAGGAAATATGAAGGAAGGGCATGTGGCTAAAACTCTTAGAAATGTATGAAAGTATTGACATCCTTTCTTATGCTTGCTGTAGCAAGAGAATCTTAGGAATCAAGAGTGACTCTCAGTCTAACTAATCCAGACTGGATTCATGAACAAAATAATGCAGTAACAGCAAATAGAAGCTAAAAAACCAAGGCATTCTCCTCAACAAAGTCTACCTGGCCACTGTTGACAACCAACAACCACTTTAGTGTCCCTCAGTTATAGAAGGGGTGATACCTTTCTTAAATAAAATGCATATTCCAGATTTCGTTTCCTCAAGCCATCAATAATACTCGGAGTCTCCAGGTAGCAGTCCTATACTCCCTTCCCGCTTATTCCACCTCCCAGCCCCCTTTGTGTCTTGATCCATGCTCAGGCTTTAAACACAGCCTGCATATGCTTACCTCCAAATCCTGTCTCCATTCTATAAGACATTTCCATCTCCCACAGAAAAGGTTCCAAACTGCTCTGGACCATCTTCAATCTCAGTAACCCTCAAACATACTACATACCATTCAACTTTGGAAATCATCAAAAAAGCAAATAACTAAGCCCCACCAGAAAAGAATAAGATCGTTTTAGGGTATTATAGATCTGGGATAGAAATTTTCAGATCTAATAATCACACTAGGTAATTCTGATGCAGGTGGTCCAGGCTTTGGGAAATAATGATCAATGGGTTTCTTCCTGTTGGTATGCACACACATAATGACTTTTGCATAACACACAAGGGGGCTTCAAAGAGTTCGTGAAAAAAACTGAATGAAAAGATAATGGCGCTCTCTGATCCTCCCCGTTCAACAGGCAGCCGCAGCTTCTCTTACAGTACCAGCCGCATCCCTGAGACAAGATGGTGAAGGTTGGAGTCAATGGATTTGGTTGTATTGGGCGCCTGGTCACCAGGGCTGCTATTAACTCTGGCAAAGTAGAGAGGTTGTTGCCATCAACGACCCCTTCATTGACCTCAACTATAAGGTATACATGTTCTAGTATGATTCCACCCATGGCAAGTTCAATGGCACTGTCAAGGCTGAGAACTGGAAACTTATCATCAATGGGAAGCCCATCTCTATCTTCCAGGAGCGAGATCCCACCAACATCAAGTGGGGTGATGCTGGTGCTGAATATGTTGTAGAGTCCACCTGTGTCTTCACAACCTTGGAGAAGGCTGGGGCTCACTTGAAGGGTGGTGCCAAAAGGGTAATCATCTCTGCCCCTTCT